TCTTATTTCCAGCTGTATATAAATAACAAAACAAAGGAGTATCTAACTACTGCAAGTACAGAGCTCCCCATTCTTTCATACATTTATTCACCCTGTCATGCAATCAACTAGATTAACATTAATGACTCATTTTGTGACTCACCAAATTATTAAATACAGTACCTTTAACGAATTCAAAATGCTGCGGTCAGAGTTTTAATAAATCATGGATCACCCCGATCCACAAAAAAATCTGCATTGGCTCAAAGGACATTATCTAGCACACATGGTATAAGTCTGACACAAACACAGCTACAACCGTATTCAGTCAGTTGTATATTTGATTAAAAAGTTCGGTTTGAGATACTTTCTAAATCCTTTAATAGAATTTGCGCTTTTGGTTTCGTTTGATATTGAATTTCATACATTCGGAGCACCGGCGGCGAAAGATCTAACACCGGAGATGGTATTTGAAAAAGGCTTAATTAAGGGGTTGTCTGATTGTGAATACTGAGGCCATCACCTTTCCTGCCGATAAAACAGTCTTTGCCTTCTTTGGGGTCGGCGACGTCACATATTTCCACTGTTTTGACTGCTCTTTTGTTTCTGGCTGAAAGTGGTGGACCCAAGTTTTATCCATAGTAACAATTTCTTTTAGGAAGCGGTCAGAATCGGTTTCAAATAAAGCTAGATTCTCTTCTGACATGATGTGTCTTGAACGCTTTTGATCAGGCGTCAAAAGCTTTGGCACCCATCGTGCTGAAACCTTTGTCATTTCCAAAGTTTCAGTGATAATAGAATGAACTCTCTCCTGGCTAATACCAACTACCCCAGCTATGAATCGTTCAGTAACTCGCCGGTCATTCATTATCAGATCATGGATTTTTTTGTACCATTTCAGGTGTTCACACAGTTTTTGGTCGACCAGGGCGTTGTTCGTCTTCAATGCTGTCTCGTCCACGCTTGAATTCAGCTGACCACCTTTTAATTGTGGCATATGAAGGAGCATCATCTCCTAATGTCTCAACCATATCATCATGTGTGGCTTTCGGTGTTAGACCCTTTTTATGCAGATATATACTTAATCATATCCCTGGCCTCGATATGGTCCATTTCATGATAACAACAGACCCTACGTGATTGTTATGACCTGTCACAACCAAACTGTTTAACCGAATGTGATGAAAGTTTGTGACAGAGCCCGAGGAACATAATGGTGCACGTGCAAAACGTGGTATCATTATGTTGCTCGGTTTTCCAATCGAGGCTCACTACTTATCAATCACCCCTTGTAAATCTGAAAATTAATACTTTTACACATGGCCGAAATTTGTCTAGTCATGTCCAGATGAGAGTAAAAAAACACCAAGATTTTTTACAGAATCTTTTGGTGTAATAGAGATATTGCCAATTTGAAGTTTTCTGTTTTAGATTTTAGTAGTTGCTGCCTCTTGCCCACTTTCACTATTTCTGTTTTGTCATCGTTGAGTTTTAATAAATTTGAGTCCATCCACTTACGAATATCTGACAAAAAGGCCTCAAGTTTGCATATCACAGATGGTTCAGAAGAAAGCTCAAAAGCTATATAAATTTGAATGCCGTCGGCGTACAGATGGTAGTGAAGACCGTGTTTACGAATGACATTTCCTAAAGATGTTGTGTATATGGTAAATAATAAAGGGCCGAGAACGGAACCCTGTGGCACGCCATACTTTAAAACCGTTGAGTTGGATGGGGAACCTTTGATAACAACTGTCTGTGTACGGTTTTCATGGTATGACTGGAACCATGTAAGGGCTAGTCCACTAACACCAAAGTTGTTCAGCAATCTTTTAAAAATAATTTGGTGGTCTCTCGCGTCAAACGCAGCGCTTAGATCAAGCAGGACTAGTACTGATGTTTGTTTAGTAATTTATTTTGAATACGTAATAAGGTGGTTTCAGTGCTGTGTTGTTTTCTATATGCAGATTGGAATACTTCGTTGAGGTTATTATTATACAAATTTTCTTAGAATTATACAATATATTTAAACACTAATGACCTTTTTCAATGTTATTTACCTATATGTGTAGTAACAACTGTTAAAATACAGATGTGACGTCATCCTTTGATGTTGGCGTACCATTATTTGAAATATTGGTACGGGCAATGTACCAAGAGTACATTATTTATACTAGTTTCAATATTGGAAGAGGGTGACGTATTTCATTGAAATACACGTGCTGGATTGTGTCTGTATTTTAAGGTGTTTAATGGTCTCGGGGAAGACATTGCGTAATATCGCACTAGTACAATATCAATATATTACTTAATGTAGATTTGAGTGAAAATATACAAATTTTCTTAGAATTATACAATAGATTTAAACACCGATGACTTTTTTTCAATGTTATTTATCTATATGTGTATCTTAACCTGTGTGGTATTTACAGATATTTATCTTCTATTTCGATTTTTTAGATTTTATTACCTTTGGTACAAAGTCTCTTACTTCCTAGTATATGATCAATCATCAAGATAATATCAAAGATCTGATCACGCAGCAACGGTGCACGAGACCTCGTTGATATACATTTAACTTCTGCGTTAACTATCTGCACATTATAAAATCACAAACATATTCTTCAATATCTGCTTTTCTCTAATGGAATTCATTGTCTTACACCATTAGAACCATTGACTCGTTAATGCATTTAAAATCTATCTAATGTTTTAACTTGCTCTTTAAAGGGGCGTATCTTTCAACTGATTTATACATCAAGCCAATGCGCTTCGGTGTCTGCATTATCGAGGTAAACTAACTGTTGATCTTTATGTGTAGTTTAATGGTTGAGTGCGAGACATTAAGTGATATATTGATATTGTACTAGTGCGATAGAACGAGTGCAGTATCTATATTTTACGCAACCGTTAAACAACTTGAAATACAGACAATATTCAGCACCTGCACCTGCATGTGGGTCCAATATTTTAACTCGTATACATAGTGTACGCTTGGTACATTGCCCGTACCATTATGTGAAATAATCTCTATTTTAAGACCATATAAACATCTAGGCATTATTTATATTCAAACGATGACGTAACCAATGTACATACGAATGTACACCTGGTGGTATCCGGTTGTTTAGAAAGAGAAATGTTATCTTAACACATGAAAGATAAAGTCGAGACTAATCAATATTTTAAAGATACATTCCCGGGTACAAACTGGGTGATTTGATGATATATTTGGACTAAAAACATATTCAAACTAATTAATATATCATAATTTTGCTTCAAATCCTTCTCAAAACGTTTCAAGTGTCGGGGAATACCCTGGCTATAAAAAATCGACCAAAAGAGGGCATGTTTGTGACTTACCTCTCTCAGTACCTAGCAACGCAAGCGAAGTCGGAGGAGAATTCATTGCATACACAAGACGATGTTGTCTTTAATCGCTGACTATTTACTACAAATATCGAAGCCTAATTCAATTTTCGGATTATCCACTGTCCGTGTCTTTTTCAGTGATTTTTATCTCAGAAAGTGTTGTACGTCTAATTCTTCATAAAGTTTTATCAAAATGTACATCAACCGCTCAATCTTCGCGTGCAACCTTGGATGTCACGCGTGCAGACACTCCTAATCGTCGGGCTGTCGATTAGGGAAACCCTTACATTTTTGTCCTGTATGCGCTCCATGAGTGTTTTTCAGGGAATCCAGTATTTTTCTAGTAAGATTGTATATTTCCACTTTCCATATATACCAAAATTGCCATACTTTTATTGGAAATACTTTTCTGGGAACGTAGCTTTATTGAAAGTGGGGGCATTTTTACAGGGTAAAGAAATACTATTGTTTTCACTATGAAACACCACTAGCACGTAGTGCCTGAAATCAATAGTTAAATATCTTACAAACTTCGTCGGTGTCCCTTTAATAATGAATTATGTAAGAGCTTTTGCCAGGTCTTCTTTTTGCCTTCAATGTTATATGAATTATTAATTATGTATTCTTGCACAAGAAACTATCACGGATGGCCACAATATTAAATACATTAGAACATCATCGTCGTTTAATAATTTAACATGAAAAAGGATAATCGTAGTTTTATTTATTATCGTAGCAATGGTATTTGACAATCGAGACTATATTGTCAAAACTTCAAACACTCCTAACGTTGCTCAGAATGAAGTAATTGGACTGAAAATTTCAATATATTCATTTTTCATTTATGTTTGAACTATTATACCAAGAAAGACCAACCCGTTATCTAAATCTTACATAATGCATCTTTAATGAATATATTTTACTTGACATTCCACATACTAACTATAATCTTCTATGATATTTAATCGTTCGATGTGCCTCTTCGATGACCACAAAAATAATAGAAAAATCATCCAAACATAATCCTCTAGGTTCGAGTTGGTTCCGAAATGAATGAAATGAAATGGGGTTTAACGTCCTATTGCCCTTCTTCGATTGGGCTAATGTGCTATGAGGGGAATTATGTCCGGACAGTGACACTACTGTTATATCGAAAGCCAAGGGATCTTTTACGTACCTCGGTTTTTCGTTCCATCCGAACGACAAGACTGCTGTACTTGTCAGGCCCTCCGTACTGAAAACAACGCCGGGAAGAGTGGATTCCGTTTCAAGTGTTTTTATTCGAGTTCTGAGAAATACAGCGATGCCTTGATAAACTACTTGGAAGTAAATGAAAGAACAGATGAAAACAGATGTCTTGGTGGACAATACTATTAAAATAAAAATAAGTTAATGTGAAAAACGGGGGGGGGGCGAATGGTTAGCGCGTGCGAGTTGTATCATAAGGTCTGTCATTGAGTCAACTGGCGTGGTTTCGATTCCCCGGTTGTACGTGACGTGACAAGCAGCGGGGTCGCCTGTCCAACCTCGTGGGTTTTCTCCGGGTCCTCCGGTTTCCTCCCACTGCTTAAGTCCCCTACTCGCAAGCGAATTATTGAAATAAAAAATGAATCATATGTTAGTCCCGAAATGACCTAGTTTGTGTCGAGTGGAAGTTAAACCCCCATTTCTCTTTCTCTCTCTCTCTAATTTGAAAAAAATGGGTTACTCAAATTTTGTGTGCAAATATAGGCTTTTAGGCTATAAGATTGGACATATGAACAATAACTCGGACTAGTATGGTATATTACTGTATCATTGCTTAAATCACATTTATTGACACATATCAAATTGATCTGAAACAAGTTTTAATAACGTAGAGAAACCTTTTCTATACATAGTGTTATAAACATTACATTTATAAACAATATAGCGACATAAATGATTAACTACATGTAATTGTATTAGCTGTTATAGATCAATCACAGGTAAAAATACAAAATTATGGTATAAATTATATATCGAGACGATAATTAACATCATTACTTACATATGTTCAATATGATTCATGATTATATTTGAACTGTGTTATGTATAATATAACATGCGGCATGTAAACAACTTGTTATCAGCAATACATTAATACACCATGGTGTATATATACCAACATTGTTATCAGTAATACATCAATATACCATTCGGGGTGAAATATATAACAGCTTTTTATATCTAAAACATATATATAACACGCGGCATTTAATATATAACAACTGTTATCAGCAACACATTGATATTACAAATACTCTCGGTAACATATTCATAACCATATTAATATAAGTTGTGCACGCGGTAACACATTAATGTAACATGTAATGCACAGTATAATTACAGCATGTCATCAGAAAGAAAATGCACAAACTCAGTGCCAAATACGCGAATTTTAAAAGCATACAGCCTAAAGAGCAATATACAAAGCAGGGAGAAAATGGGGTTTAACGTCTACGCGACACAAACTGGTTTTATTTTACTTTAATAATTCGCTTGCGCGTTGTGGTCTATAGCAGTGGCAGGAAAACAAGGTGTCCCGGAGAAAAAAGCCGAGATTGGACAGGCGATCCTACACCTTGTCAATCTAATTAAATGCGTGATGCGTCATTTGCATTTTCGCTAAAATATCAAATTCCTCACAGTTTAATACAAAATAAGGGAGGTTAAGCACTTTTAAACAACATCCGTTAATGGCAAGAAATTTGATATAACGAAGCTGTATTTAGGTTTAGGGAGTAGGGTTGTGGTAATCTTTTATTGGGATATTCTGTACCATAAACAAGCACGGAGTAATGGTTATCTTAGTTAAGTTCAATAAATTGTCAATAATATCTGCCTCTTAAATTCACATGGTTGGCTCTTACATTCACATAGCTGACCTTAACTCTTCGAAACACGTAACTTACTCTAAGAACACGTAACGTACTCTAAGAACACATAATTGGCTCTAAGAGCGTGTTCCAGATCTTATACTGGGTTTTAGCGTCACTTCTCTGCGACAGTATTTTAGATCCTGTTGATAATTCACACATTGTGGCACTTTTATACTTATCATACTCCGATTCTTCTAAATTGACATGTCGTGCATCAAACACTTTAGCTAAAATCCCCGTTATAAACACATCCTCCATTCTCATGTACGGAAAATGGTTGGAAACTGCAACTATCTTAGTTGCTAATCTTGCCGGCATTAAGTACAGGTTTCCTTTACAATGCGGAGGGTACATGGAAAGTGGGTACACCTTTCTATCTACTTTGTATTTTCCGGACCGGAACACTGTATCCGAGAGAAAAAATGGCCCTAAGATAGTATTATCCATCGTTTGAGACTCCAGTTTGTGCAGTAACTTGGGTAAAACAATAAATGAGTCTTCGTCGGTCTTCATGACAAACTTAGTTCTGGGACAGTAGATGGACAGCCATTTAAATCCCATCAAAACTTTTAAGGTCAGGTTTGAGTAAGTCTCCTTGAAGTTTGCTTGAACTATGTCACCATGAACATCGCTTTCCACTCGAACGATCTCGTTTAGAATTGGGTTCTGATGAACACCGAATAGAAATACGATTTTGATGATTTGCGAGACCATGGTACCAGGCCAACGGCTGGTCTTAGCAACGCTACCCCACGTCTGGCGTATTGCTGTTCTCTGTGTTGTTTTGTCATGGAGCGACAATATAAATATTACCATATATACATCTTTGTCTTTGCATATGTTCGATCCATTCAATAAAAATGCGTGGTTTAACGAAAAGAAGATATTGTTACCAGGGACGAAAAAACTTTCATTTCCCTTTAGAGACGTGTGACCATAAAAGGGCTTCGATGTTGAAGTCAAGAGTACCATTGGTTCCGACAGCAACGAAACCTGATTCATCCCCAGTTTCATTGTAAATATCACCATTACTACGGCTGACAACACAACAAATTTTCGAAAATAAAATTTCATCATTTCGATTATCTGAAATATAGCAAAGGATATGAACATTCTTAAAAATATGAGAGGTTGGGTGACGTTTTAGATCATAAGATCTGACAATGCGTCAAGTGACGTGGATTTAATGGTGTGTCCCATATATACGTGTACTCATTAGCGAGCACGTAAAAGAGTCCTTGGCAGTTGGATTTCGAAATCAGAGTAGGTCGTAGGTTACTGTGTGGCGTAAGCCCGTCTTCAATTTCCCAGCCGTACAGAGAAGTAAAACCCCAATTCATTTCATTTCTGTAGCACATACCAGATCAAGTTCAGCACGCAAATGTATAGTGAATACATCGTATAATGGAGTACGCGTGGGCACGGGTTTTCTAACCAAATAATTTAAAGTCATACCCTCGCCCACCATGACCTTCATAGTCAAGTTCCTGGACTGAGAGTGGTGATATACACCCCCCCTCCAACAATTGACTTCAATGTTACACCCATGTCAGTCCTTTATTTTACACTCCTATGTTACAGATACATTATGTAAGAGAAAAGTATGTCTATTGTCTTTATTCATTCTTCTTAATTCTTAGTTCTTAATTTATAGTCCTTAATTCTTATTTCTTCATTTGTTGTCGTATTTCGAGATTTGTACACTAAAATTAACATTTGTATCTTAAAATCGATATTTGTTTTACAAATCAGACATTTATCACAAAAAGGATTTGTGAATAGTATCTTGGTTTAATTTAATTTTAGTTATATAAAAATAAAATTTAGCCTACATTTACATTTCATCAGAGACAAACAACGAAAAACAAATCTCGAACAACAAATTTCGAAAGAAAATAATCTCCAAATACAAATTCTGAAAAACATTTCTCTAAAAACATTTCTCGAAATTCATTAAGAAGTCATCATAGCATACTTTCATAACTAAATTCTTATATTTGAGCCTAGGGTAAAAAGCAATACATTATTTCATATATTGAACTATTATATGTTAGCCTACCATAAAAAAAATAAGTTAGTTCATACTTTCGTAACAACATTCTTATATTTGAGCCTAGCTTCCATAAACAATTATTGTACATTTTTTTTTTATTATAAGAATAACAGGTTTTTTATAACCTATGTCAGACAATGCGCAAAAAAATCTCGAGGTTGGAAGGCGACCCTACATCTTGTCACGTACAAACGAGGAATCCCCAGCACTACACTTAAACATACATTATGCAAGAGCTAAATCTGTCTATTGCAGGTCTTTCTTTAGGCCTGAAATGTTATCTAAATTATTAATTAGACATCAATTAACCTATCGTACTGACTTTAGTAATGATGACCGAGGCTTATGGGAATTTCAGTCGCTTAGTTCTCGGTTCATAGTGGTTCAATTTGAATGAAATTTTCACCAAATTGCCTTTACATTATCTAGTTTTTAACTATTATAGTGAGAACTGCCAACTCGTTACCGAATCTCCCATAATGTATCTTTAATTTACCCTGGCGCAATGGTGCGATCGTGCCGGGAGTCTATAATATCCAAGTCTACTTTGACGTATGCTCTCACTAATACTGTCGTTATGTCGTGTTGTCGGGTTATGAAAATGGCGAAAAATTATATGGCCACTATCAGCCACCATATTATTGGAGAAAATCTGCGTTAGAAAATCCTGAGTGGAAAATCTGAAGTGGAAATTTGAGAGTCAAAAGTTGACAGTAGAAAGCGGGAAGTCGAAAGTCAAAAGTTGATAGCAGAAAGGAGAAATTTTGTCCATGAAAGTAGAATAATGACGATTAAAAGTTGAAAAGCTTGATGTTTCTACTGACTAAGTACATAAATTTATAGGTTTTCACCATAAAAATACCCTTTTAGATAAGAATTTTCCCGTTTACTTTAGATTTTCTACTTTTTACTGTTGACTTTCTGCTTTTTACTCTAGATTGCATTTTGAACCCGATACCCCGCCATACATATCCTCATGTTTCCTCGACTTAGCATTTTTTTCTTCAACTGATCATTGTCTAATTTACCCTTAGTATCACTTAGTATCTCGAGCGCTCGACACATTTTTTTTTTTTAAATATATAAAATAAATTACCTTGATTCAGTATTACTTAAATATATTCCGTCATTCATGACACTATTTTATCAATGTGATATACATGTAATTCACAACCCGGATGTTTAATCTTGCCGAACATGTGACTCTGCATTTGGCTGTAACGGAAATGAAATGGTGTTAAAACGTCAAACCTTGATTCAGCGACTGGCTATGGTAAATCTATATATATATTTGTGACTGTCGTTTGTCTGTCTGTCTGTCTGTCTGTCTGTTCGGGGTTGGCGGCTACACTGGGTCTGCCCCGAGTCTGAAATTTGGGGTATAGGGTTAGCTCGGACCGGGGAGTAACATAGGCCAGGTGGCGTTAGTCTACCACTTCCGGTTTCGGAGTTATGATCCTCGAGCGAAGCCGGTCTGTTCGGGGTTGGCGGCTACACTAGGTCTGCTCCGGGTCTGAAATTTGGGGTATATGGGTAGCTCGGACCGGGGAGTAGCATAGGCCAGGTGGCGTTAGTCTACCACTTCCGGTTTCGGAGTTATGACCCCCGAGCGAATCTGTCTGTTCGGGGTTGGTGGATACATCTGCCCCGAGTCTGAAATTTGGGGTATAGGGGTAGTTCGGACCGGGGAGTAACATAGGCCAGGTGGGGTTAGTCTACCACATCCGGTTTCGGAGTTATGACCCCCGAGCGAAGCCGGCCTGTTCGGGGTTGGCGGCTACACTAGGTCTGCCCAGAGTCTGAAATTTGGGATATAGGGGTAGCTCGGACCGGGGAGTAACAGACCAGGTGGCGTTAGTCTACCAATTCCGGTTTCGGAGTTGTGACCCCCGAGCGAAGCCGGGTATCCTGCTAGTATAACATAAAATATTATAGGACATGATAACATTATCTGAAGCATTTGGTTATGAGGAAATCTTACCTTCTCAATTGGTCCCAGGCCGCTCTTAAAAAGTAACATATAGAAGGACATTGGGCGTTTTTATTGGATTAAAAAGAAACTAAGGATAGAATACTTTTAGTTTGTCAAAATAGGCTACAAAGGCATAAAATTTGTTTGGGTTTTTTTTTTCTTCATTTTTTTTTTCTTTTCTAAATATAATGGCACAGAAATGTTTCAAATTTTATAATGAAAAGAAATAAATCTAAGGCAATATAAATTAGTATAACGTTGTTGACATAACTCTTTACAACGAACTAACACTCAATCATATAATGTACTTTTATAATATGTATATACTTATTGAATAAATAGTGTCAAAAAAACCCAAACAACATTGGATTAACTATGTCGGGACCTGAAAGATAAATATTATGGTGTGATTTATTTCTGTCCTCGTTGAAAATATTTTACTTCCATAGACTATGTCAGAATAACCTTTCTCCAGCTGCAGGTACTTCAGACTGGGAACCTCCAGGTGAAGCTATTGTCTTGCTAGCTTCCCGAAAGATGTCACTGTTCGTATGCTCAAGAAGTCCGAATTTACCGAATCTGAAACAACCAGAAGTGGTATCACACCCACCCAGGCGAGAATGAACAATAAATTGTCTAATACAGTTTTATCCATTGCGCTGCAGACTGATTTTATGTCATAGTTGTTGCGCTTTTTGTCCAAGTTAGGTGTTTTCAATCGAGTCAAATCATAAAACTCGGAAAGTGGCGAAAGTAGTTGTAGTAATACATCTATTTAATAAGTTGGACATAATCTGTAACTTTTCAGTTATTTTTTAACCAAAATAATGCAATATGGCAGTTATAATCGAATATCCGAGTTTTCCGAGTTTTGTATTTTGGCCTATACGAAAACACAAAACTCGGAAAACTCGGAAAGTGGTCAAAAGGTATCAAAATAAAATATTTTTCATTGGATATGGTGTGTAAGGGTTGTAATATGTACAAAGGAACTCAACTCGCCTTTACGAAGATAACTTGGGTGAGATCGAAAAGTCGGACATCCAAAAGATGAAATGATTAAATGATCAATTTGACACATGGCCCCGAGGCCGAACCTGCCCCGTTCTACAATACTATATACGTCGTGTCGAGAATAGGCCTACCTAACTTTTAGAAATAAAATTAGCGAAAGGAGTAACAGTAACACATCTATTTAATAAGTTGGACATGATCTATAACCTTTTCAGTTAGATTTTAACCAAAATGCTGCAATATGGCAGTTATAATTAAATATCCGAGTTTTCCGAGTTTTGTATTTTGGCCTATACGAAAATACAAAACTCGGAAAACTCGGAAAGTGGCAAAAAGATAACAAAATAAAATATTTTTCATTGGATAATTATGATTATTATACAACGGATTTCTGCTTAACGGGAATAACTTGATATTTAGTGTAGCCCACTCAAGTTTTTCTTGCATCGAGACAGACATCACAGGGAGTAGGCCTATTACGTGTAGAGCATATCTAATTGGATAATTAAGTGATAGTAACACATCTATTTAATAATTTAATAATAGTTAGATATTAACCAAAATAATGTAATATGGCAGTTATAATTAAATATCCGAGTTTTCCGAGTTTTGTATTTTGGCCTGTACGAAAATACAAAACTCGGAAAGTGGCAAAAATATATCAAAATAAACTATTTTTCATTGGATATTTCGGAAAACAACTTTTCACGTTGGTACCTAGATTCCCTGAAAATTTCAAGGCGATACCTGCATTCCTTCAAGGCGTTTGTAGTGCAAATGCCGTCATTTTTTGAGTTTTTCTCCAAGTAAATTACGGCCTCCGTAAGGGGAAAAAAGTGGAATTTCACTCCGACACCGGCACCGATTGTCAGAAGACCATGAAATTTGGACACAATGCGCCCATTACCCCCCGGGCTCTATGGTATCACTCCCATTTTGATCCGATTTAAAAAAAAAAAAAAATTAGCAAAAAAATCATTTTTCGGAATTTAAATTTGGTTTTTGGGAATTTTGAAATTGCAAATGAAAAGGGATTTTATCGTCTCTTGCGTATGTCATAGGTACGAGTCCTGTGCACCTTATTCTTTAAAGGCGATCTTTTAAAATCACCGGAAGGGTGTTTTTGAGACTAAAATGCGAAATCGCCCATTTTTACATATTTTGATTGCCGAGGCATCCTTCCGCTGGTCCAAATCTCTGGAATTTCTAGCGGTTGCATGCGCAATGGTGATATCTATCACATATTAAAAGGAGAAAATTATCAGATATCAAGAACAATAAAAATCCGATGAAATACGGCAATTTTTTAAGCCAAAAAAACTTTGATGGGTGGGGGTGGGCTTTTAATTTATTTTCAATGTTCCCGGGTTTGAACACACTTCTATTTTTAATATGTGATAGCTAACATCCCAACGTACATTGTGTTCAAATTTCAAGGCAATCGGACCACCGGAACGATGCCTGTGCCGTCAAAATAATCCCGGTTTCGAAAATTTGCCCATTCTTTAAGATTTTTTATTGAATGGCAGCCATTTTAGATGTACCCAACGTAACTAACCACTCCGAAATCGACCCACCAAAAAGCGCAAAAATGGCTAAAACGCTTAATTTTGAAGCTATCGGACTGAAATTTCGGCTACGAACGTGTCACGATACTGCATTCCTTCAAGGCGTTTGTTCTTGAGGGTTGGCTGCTAAATGTTAAAGTCCGAAACCGATCGAAATACCCCGAACTGAGCCTGCCCTAAAACTCTTAAATTTCAATGCAATAGTCCTACGGGAAGTCTGAAAATGACAGGCTTATTTCTGTCGAACATGACGTCGCGACCTCAATATTGTCACTCAACTAATAGGGGGTGCATTTTCTTAATATTGGAGCTAAGTGGGTCAAAAAATTACTGTTGGTCATTTGACCTTGACCTTTAAGGGTCAAACCAAGGTCACCACGCGACTACCAAAAGTCGATTTAGTACATAAGGCCGAAACCCCAAGGTCGGCGGACGAGATTTGGACATCAAGTTATCCCCCCTGATGGACGCCACCATAAAAAAAACAATTCTTCTGCGGTTACCGGGAGTGGGTCAATGGGTCAAAAACCGTTATTGTTCGTCCCTTGACCTTTAAGGGTCAAACCAAGGTCAACGCGCGACTCCCAGGGGTCGATTTAGTTCAGAAGGCCGCGACCTCAAGGTCGTCGGATGCGATCTTGGCCAAGCGAGTTACCCTCCCTTAGACTACAGCTGAAAAAATACAGATTTTTGACTTTCTGGGAGAATTTGGCCGGAAAAAGGTCTTCCGATCGGCTCCAAATTTCGTGACCCGATAGATCGACCCCATATTTGTTCTTCATTTTTTAAAATCGCCAACCAAAAATCGTGACCTTCACCCACTAGGGGGCCCACAAATATTTCGGTTTTTGCCCCCTAGGGGCCAAACCGATCGAGTGAGAACCATCGAATCTTCACCTTTCGATCTAACATCGGGGCCCAAATGACCCCGATGGGTCAAGGTCATCTGAAAAGGTCAAGGTCACCCGAAAATCTCGCGTCTCGTGTGTTCCGGGGTCTCCCTTTGGATCCCAGGGCCCCGGGGCATGTCAAAGGTCATGACCGTGGATGGACAAATTAATGACCTTTATTTTGAGGTCTTGACCTTTGATCTGACATTTGACCTTGGGGTCGAAAAATTTCCAAAACTTCATGTACAATTCAGAATTTCTCCAGAAATGTCAAGGTCAAGTTCAAGGTCACGACCCACAAGCCCGGTGACGGGGACGTCCCATGGGGTCAAGGTCATGACCTTGGCTGATATATCGTGCCCCCGGTGTGCGACACGGGTGGGTCAAAGACGTCGTCGAGGGTCATTTGACCGTGACCTTGACCTTTGGGGTCAAACCTAGGCCACCACGCGACTCCCAGGGGTCGCTTTAGATCAGAAGGCCGCAACCTCAAGGTCGTCGGATGGCGAATTTGGGCCCTCCGGTGACCTCTCCTTCAAAATCCCTCAAAATTCCATCCCCATGCAGATCCCTCGTCTGTAAACGCCCCGAGGGGATTGCGGGCGAGGTCCCAGCTTGGGTATTCGATAGGAATATCCACCCCGAAAAGTCTCCCGGTCCTCTCAAAATGGACTTCCGGCAACCGGAAGTGGGTCAAAGACGTCAATGATGGTCGTTTGAACTTGACCATGACATTT